TTTTTGAAAAAAATTACTTAGAAAAATAAAATAAAAAAAAAGTTATTTAAAAAAACATTCTTTAAAAAATAAAATTAAATAAAAAATTACTTTTAAAAAAAATTTAAAATAAAATAAAAACTTATTTTTTAAAAAATTACTTAAAAAACTAAAATAAAATAAAAATTTATTTTTAAAAAGTGTTACTTGAAAAAATAAAATAAAATAAAAACTTATTTTGAAATAAATGTTTCTAGGAAAAAAAACCTTTTATTTTTGTTATTTAATTATATATATATATAATACATAGTTATCATTTTATCCATTTTAAAATTAGTGAAAACAGTGAAAGGAAATTAGGTGGTCATGGTGAAATAAAAACAAATTGAGTAGTCATGATAACAATAAATATAAAGTTGGGTTACCATTGGTAAACTTAGCCCATGAATAAATAGTAAAGTATTGAAAACTTGTAATGCTATTAAACGTCAAAATAAAGATTCTTTTAAATTTAAATTTTAAGGTTTGACTATTTAAAATAAGAGTAACACTATTTAACACAACTGATTTTAAAACATCGAATTAGGTGCATTAATATGACATTAAATGATAAGTACAATTAAATGAGTCACTTAATTTTTCTTTTCATTGAATATATCACATTATTCATTAGACTTGTGTTATAACATTATTGGTGTTACATAACATTATTCTTAAAATAAGAAGTATTTCACTTTTAAATAATCTCTTATAGTAAGGTTAGGATTAAGAAGAAATAAAAACAAGGATGGAAATGCAAATGAGATATAAGTTAGGGATGACAAATGTAATTTAACCAATCTAAGGGGAGCAAGGCCAAAGACCAAACCCTTGGGAAGGGCAGAGTTGGTAAAAGAGAAGTTGGTCTATTCTACTTAAAACCCTAAAACCCAACTCGCCACTCCCACGTCCACCTCCAATCTCCTGATTATTAGTTAGTAAAAAAACATGAGACCTCCTAGGGGACGCGGCGGTTTTGGTGGCGGTGGCTTCAGGGGCGGAAGAGACGGTGGTGGTCGTGGCGGTAGAGGCGGAGGCCGATTCGGTGGCGGCCGCTTCCCTCCTCGCGACGAAGGTCCCCCAGCTGAAGTTATAGGTGCTTTTCTTGTCTCTCTCTCTATAAATATAAGAAAATATACAAAAAGGTTGTATTTTTTACGATGAATGGTTGTAATATTACTTATGCAGAGGTTTCATCATTTGTTCATGCTTGTGAGGGAGATGCTGTGACGAAGCTCACAAATGAAAAAATACCATACTTCAACGCACCAATTTACCTTCAGAACAAGACACAGATCGGTAAAGTTGATGAAATATTTGGCCCCATTAATGAATCTGTGAGTATGCCCATTCACCTGGATTTTATTTTTAATATTTTGAAGTGTAAGGTATATTTTTCATCCATTTCTTATTATTTTGGTTGCTCGATTGCAGTATTTTTCGATTAAAATGATGGAAGGAATTGTGGCCACCTCGTATTCAGCTGGGGAGAAGTTCTACATTGACCCGGCTAAGCTTTTACCACTTTCAAGATTTCTTACGCAGCCAAAGTATGTCCTTTATATCACTGTTTTTTAACTGCCCAACGGGTTTACATGTTAATGCGATCCATATCTACTGAAGGTTAAGATTCTGATTTGCCTTGTTTATCACATTATGCGTTTAATAAATAATCTACTAGACAGTAGAACCTTATACCATAAACACTAAAATCTTGTTGGTTGTAATAGATTTTTAAGAACTATCAGCATTTGAAACGCTGTTGCTTTTTGAGGTGTACTTGATCATACAATGCAAAGTTTTGGCATTTTAAACTTAACCAGTGATGTGGAAAAAAATTTCGATGATTCATTTACGGAAGAGACATTGACTTCTCCTGTTTGGATTCCTTAAAGGAAAGTGACAACCATTGCAAATTCATTCCCTATCTTCTCATCCTTGTATATCTTAATGTTGCTTTATCTTTGAGGTTCTGGATTAGTTGTATCTGAGAATATACAACCTGTGAATTGTGATGCTCAGACTTTTCGAAATGGCCGGAGCCCCCGTGTCGACACGATATGGGTACGGGTACTTCAGCTAGACACGAAAATTTATATAGGGGTTTATATCTTCTAGCTGTCGCACAATTTTCGTGATTTTAGCCAAATGTGTTATTGTTACCATTGCAACGAAAGAATTATATTAACAGTGTTGATAGTTTAGGTTAATCAAACTGACAAAAAAGCCATATTAACGAAATTTGAACTCTTTATAGTCATGTCCCCATATCCTAACATTTTAAAAAATAAAAGATGCAGATACCTACCCATATCCGATAGTCGTACTCGATCCCTAGCATTATAGTATATAACAACTACTATCCTAAATTTGCTAGCGGAAGTATACTAGCGTTTCAGGTTACAGAAAGACGAGAGTTATGGTTTCAACTGTTTTAGTTGGTAACAAGCTTTTATATCCTCAACATAGTCGTTATTTACCGACATTCTATTCCATGCTCCATGGCCTTCTTTCTCCTCCACACTGTTCTCTAGCTAATTAGGGAAATACTGTGATATGTGCTGATTTATAGCTGCTATATACATCTAATTGTCCATTAATGTTTGCAAGCAATTCATTACTGTGTTTTCTCACCATCTTCTAGCCATAGATATTACCGTATCTCTAGTTTTTGTTGCCATATATTTATCTATTTAACTACTTTACGATTTTTTTTTCTCTTATTATTTATTTGTTTTGCATTGAGAACTCAATTTTGATATTTGCATTTTTTTTTTTCAGAGGACAAGCTCAAGCTGGTGGTAGAGGGGGAGGACGTGGAGGAGGAAGAGGTGGTGGGAGAGGTGGACGTGGAGGTGGTGGCGGTTTTCGTGGAAGGGGTGCTCCAAGGGGAAGAGGTGGCCCTCGGGGTGGTGGTCGTGGTGGAGGTTTCAGAGGCAGAGGGAGATCATAGAATGAGTCTGCATTTTCATTGTCATTTTCTTCTTTTGGTTGTCAATCCAGGGTGCTTCCGAATCGAACAGAACAATGCATGTTATGAATTTTTTTCTTAATGGAATTTATTTATTTTCAGTTGATCTTCCGTAAAATTAACTTGGACTCAATTTTGGATCTCATTGCACCATAATGTAAATATGCTAAATTGCTGCTTGAGCTGTGGCAAATTCAGTTTGCTGAAATATGATATTTGAAGATCTATGATAATTTAACGGGATTTCTTCTCTCTTTTGACAAGTTAGAATTCCTTGATAAAACACTCGGGAAATCCGGCTAGCACAGGCAATAACACAAATAGAGTCTGTTTATTAAGGAGGTAAATTCTGTGTAATGCATGTGTCCTGTAAATAGTAGAACTCGTTATCAAGCACGATTAGGGTAGTGGGTGAGACAAGGCAAGGCTCGACTTGTCCCTTTTGGACATAGATGATAAAATTTGAAACCCATCAATGTATAGTATGCTATTATTCTATATATGTGGGCGGATTGAGTGACTGCCTGGAATTTTTTAATTTTTTTTTAATGTTTGTCTCAGTTTAAGGATTGCTGGTAATACTTGTCCAATTGGCAATTTCTTAATTCGAATGCTGCATTATTGTATTTCAATGTGATTTGAATAATATAAGTTTGAGTTGCAGACTGGATCATAAAGCAAGATCTTGAGCTACTTATTCTCTCGCTGCTTTGGATCTGCAATTTTTCTTCTGTTTTGGGGTGTTCACTGAATCTGTAATATGCATTTGAAAACTTTGTGATTAGAGGATTGTATTTTTCTCGCGTTGGTGATTGCTGAAGCTAATAACGATTTTATGTCTAACGCAGTTGTCTTAAACAATTGATTGTAATTTTCAATTAATGTAATCGGCGACATTTAAGAAAATTTTGCTGTCTAAAGTTGTTTTCGTTTAGAATAAATTCTAATGTATATGCCCGCTCTTTTAAAGAGTTAAAAGAGACTCCTTAAATTAATATTTTAATTTAGAGAATGAGTTTTGACCTACTCTCTATAATTAAATACATTTAAAGCATTTCAATTTTAAGTTAGTGAAAATAAAGGAAAATGAAAAACAATGAATATTTTTTTGTAGTAGTAAAATTAAGTGTTAAAATATAAAACGCCAGTACTTAAAAAATTTCTCTTAAAAATTTATAAATACTCTCTAAATTGTAGAATATACTCTTTAAAAATAGAGTTTCTTGGATATGCTTTTAGAATGTTTTATGGAGTAGAAATGTGTTTCTCGCCCACTATGATATTTTATTTGTCGTTAAAAGTGCATTGTATTTGTTCCTTCGCTACACAGTAAAATTTATCTAAAGGCATATCTCCAATAAGTAAAAACCTAATATCACTTATGAATAATATTTTCAAGCCCAATGAAAAAGCTTCTAAAATTCCATATCATAAGAATCCGGGAATTGTTCAACCAACAGTTGAAATTGCAAAATTCGTGAGCTGAAAATCAAGATAGACACAAAAACTCTTGCAAATAGTGAAAGCCATAATCTTTATTAATAATGCAACATCTGATAATCTTCTCAGGCTCCCCATCCTCTAAGAATTGTTGCCTTCGCAACCCGATTAACACCTAGGCTGAAGGCTCCCATTCGAAAATCACAATCATGAGCCTTGCACATCTCTTTTACATCTTTGAAGCCTTTCGTCATGTATTTCTTTAGCTCTGCATTCACTTTATCCTCATCCCACGTGAACCCTTGAATGTTCTGCAATGCAATGCAAACACAAGTACAACGTTAAATCAGTGGAGATGACACTATATAGAAAAAGATAAAGCGGAAATTGGAAAGACGAAAATATACCTGAACCCACTCAAAGTAACTAACAGTAACACCGCCTGAATTTGCATATATGTCTGGAAGGACGACAACTCCCTTCTTTGACAAAATCTGTGGAGGAAAATACTAGTTAATTATGCTGCCAGAACCTCTAATTTCATGCTGTGACATAATTTAAGATTTGTAACCATTAACTAACCTCATCAGCCTCGGGATCAGTTGGATGATTAGCTGCTTCAATAATAAATTTGGCTTTGATATCTTTTGCATTATCCCTTCAATAAGATGTGAAACATCGTTAACTATGTTGGAAATTTACAACCACAACATGCAGGAGATGCTGACGAACAACAAACTGATACTATCATGGCTCATAAAAAAACCTGTTGATCACGCCTCCCAGAGCTGCTGGGATAAGAATGTCGCAATCCTCAACCAATATAGAATTAGGATCAATAGAATCCCCACCACTGAATCCTTTTACTCCACGGGTTTCTTTGACGTGGTTGAGTAGGCTTGGTATGTCAAGACCACTGCTATTCTTTATAGCTCCTGTAATATCACTTACTGCAACAATCTTTCCCCCCTGCTCACTTATAAGTTGAGCAGCCCAAGAACCAACATTTCCGAATCCCTGACACAGAATGTCAAAACTGAGGTTTAGTGAACGATTGATATCTTTTTCTAACCAGTCCACTTCTCCATGAGAAATACTCGCATTAAGATTCGTCAAGTTTTATTTCATTTCAACTATAAGCCTAATTAAAATATGAGGTAAGCCTGTAAGGATCGTCTAAGTTCGGTACCTGCACAACAACATGTTTCCCGGCAATGTTCTTCCCGTACTCTTTAAGCAGGGCTTCAGTTGCAAACAGCACACCTCTTCCTGTAGCTGCATCTCTTCCAAGGGAACCACCAAGATCCTAAAAATGAGAAATTTGGGTCTTTCAAGTTACTACAGAAATGAAGAAATTTCAGAAAGTGAAGAAAGCATGTTTTCAACTACCATAATATGTATCATCCAGTTACATTAAAAGACAATTTAAAAACAAATCATGAAACTGAAACGAATCATGAACCTGACTGAAGTTTCATTTGAGAGCTTTTCGTATACTTACAATAGGTTTTCCAGTTACCACTGCGGGTGAATATCCATGAAATTTCGAATATTCGTCTAAGATCCAAGCCATTGTCTGTTCAAACGCACAGAAAAGATTAACAATAAATTCAAATACGTCAGTGAGTTAATTGATACTTAAATGGTAAGGTTGAGATATATGTTTCATGGACCTGTGGATTTGTTCCCATATCAGGTGCTGGAACATCTGTGTGGACTCCAACCAGATCATGTATCTTTTGGGTGAAAACTCTAGTAAGTCTTTCTAACTCAGAGATGCTCAAATCCCCTGGATTACATCCTATCCCTCCCTTGGCTCCCCCATATGGTATGTTAGCTACTGCAGTCTTCCATGTCATTAGTTGTGCCAAAGCATTCACCTCATCTGGGTCTACCTACATTATCCATGTAGAATTTTGATTAGAAAGGGAAAAAAGAATCTGGAAACTGGATCTAATTACACAATACATAGATTAGGAAGAAATATCATAGTCTTCATCTTGGATGAGCTTATTTTATCAATTTGATTTGTGAAAAACAGAAGCTACTTTAGCAATTGGTCCGCTAAATCAAAGATCAGAACCATGATGATTGCATGACTAAATCGATTCCTAGTTAATCAAGTTTAAATTGTTCAGCCATTTAAAATTTAACAAACCTCTGGGTGGTATCTTATTCCTCCTTTCATTGGACCTCTCGCATTGTCATGCTGAACCCTGAACCCCACAAAAGATGCCAAGGTGCCATCATCTTTTGGTATGGTACACTCAACCTGTGACGTTGACCGAAGCAGGCAAGGAACACAATTAAACAAAAGTATTGTCAAAACAAAAGCATGCTAACTAGGGTGAGGAGAATTACATGAAATTGATAATCTATGGAATGTTGAGTGTAAAATAGTTATATTAAAATCAAGATTAAACGACTAGGTATTTCAAACACCATGGTAAATTACTACAGAAAGGAAGAGTAATGCTACTGAAAACAGGGGCCATCAAGTGAATACTTGCTTTTGAAGTCCAAAATCTTGCACTGTAGACAGAAGGCCAGTGTGTGTATGGAAGTAGAAAATGGACTCATGACGAAAAATTTAATGATAAGAGAACTTTTTTGGGCATCAGCCAGGGGGGAAAGAAATTGGAACGATATGACATTCCAAATTTAAATACATAGAAAAATCAGACAGAAAAAATAAAATGATTGGTTCTTTAAATAAAATTAAATCCAATGAAATTAATGTTATTTGATCAATCAACATTGTGAAAGTGTTGATAACCTTAATTTCCCTAAATGGAATGAGCAGACTCTTCTCAAGCTTTGAGTCCAAACCCAGAAGCCGAGCTGCCAGCTTAAAATTTCTGTTTGTTGCAGCTAATGCGTTCATGATTCTTCAAACAGCTTCTTCCACAAAGGAAATGAGATTTCAAACTTCAGATACAGAACGAGGAATATATGTACATAGACCTTAATGAAAATATACAGATTTCCTGAAGAGAAAAACATGCAACAAGTATTTATAAGAGTGATTGAACCTTAAAAAACTGACCCTTACTGGATAATAACTACAAGTATTTTCAATAAAATAAATATTGACCATTAAAAAATTGCATGTCGTGTCATCATCCTTGCAGGAAGTCAACCTTATTCGTCACGTGTTTCTAAACTTGGGAGGAACATTTTCTTGCCAAACACAATTTCTCTTGGAAATGCAATGCACATGGGACAACTCAACGTTAATTTAAGCTGTTACTTGTTAGTTAATGCATAGTGAGCTGGTCATTCTCATCCGGACACATAAAAAGGATTTACAAGCAACTTGATGCAAAATTAGCCAGAAAATTTCATCTAAAACTTTGATATTAGTTTCTTTTCCCTATAGATGCCAAAACTCTTACATGATATTTAGGATCACAAGGCAAACTCAAGCAAATGCCTTTAACGATAAAATTTGAAGTTTCATGATTTTGCTATTCAATCAGGTCATTGTCCCGATCTTATCCTCTGTTGTAGACTTTGACTCCTCCCTCGTTTTATGGTAGAATCTTTTCAATAAAAATAAATTGCTTCTTATTTTATACTGGTTATGCTGCATCATGGTAAGCAGCCCGTCACAATAGTACTAAAATCAAAAAATTATAGATTTATATATTTTTACTAAGAAACAACTCAAAACTAACGTATTAGCAAACATATCAAAATATTATTTCCATCCAAGTAGAAGAAAACAAAAAAATATCCTCCAATTCCAATTCAGGCTTTGTCAATTTTTTATGTAAGACTACAAGACCCAGCTCCTGAAATTTTATATGGCAATGGAAGAAGAGCAATTCTCACAAGGAAACAAATAATTAAGTATACAAACCTTCGAGGTCCGAAAATAAAGAATTGCCAAAAGCATAAACAAATCCTCTTACCTCGAGACAGAGGAAAAAAGTCCACAGGAAGTTGATGACTGACTGCACCCTTGCGCTTGAAGCGAGTGTAGCTCCAATTCAATTTTTATATCTGAGAGAAGATATAATCAGAATCAGTTCCTCTCTCTGCAGCCAAATCCAAAGTTTCAGGATATATCATATTAGACTAACGTACGTATGTATGTAGAAAATTGAGTGGATTTACAACTGAATACGAATACAAATGTGAATATGAATATGAATTTGATGCGATGCGATGGGATGCTTAGGTTATGCCAAAAGACATCAGCGGAAATGAATCAGTGTCAACTTCCACTATCACCCGCTTCTTCTATAATCTCAAAAAGGATAGAAGAAATAACGACAAAATGCTTTGCTGAAAGTGGAACGTGAATCCGACGCCAATTCCACGATACAACTTATTGGGTGCTTTACTTCTATGACACTAATATATTACACCCTCACCTCACCAGGGTCAAGATTAGGGTTTTGGTTGTGCAGCAAAAACCTATGGATATATAGGGTAGGTTTCCTTTGTAATATTTTAGGATCTGATTGATTCATTGTCGTTTTGGT